CATCTTAGTCCATCAACTTTCCTCATTTGCAATGCTTGTCTTTGCTAGGATGATTGAGATTTTATCTTTTATTGAAGTGAACAGTCTCTGTCACTTCTGTGATGGTGCCATGTTGCCATTGTCTACCTACAATGGAAGCTCATTGTAGAGATAGGTGTGGATTGCCCCCACAGCACCCATTGTTAGCATTCAGGCACACCTTGGCCCTGCCTCTTGGGGCCCATGGCAAGCAATACCCTCCCTGGCTCTGGACACAGGTGCAAAAGTTCTCTTTAAGAGACAAGCTCCATCAACTCCCACTCACTCTCACTGTTCCTCTAAAGAGGCAAGCAGGTCTTTGCCTTTCTTTCTCTTTCTCTCTCTCCTCTCTCTTTTCCATTCCCTTACTCTCTTCCCCCAATAATCCAAAAGCAAATTACATCCCCCTTCATATTTTGACTATGTGTTACAACATGAGGTAAAACATGGAATTCAGGCCATTTACAAAATTATTGTTTAAAATCACATGAAGTGTAACAATTGCAACTTTCTTAACATAGAAGAAGCCAAGACTTACACAGTCTAGTTTCAAAGTTTCTATAAAGCTAAAATGAGCAAGATAATATTATTCACATAGGGATAAATATGTAGATGAAACGAACAGACAAAAGGAAACTTCACATCAGTCAGCTGGTTTTTAAGTGAGGTACAAAAGACAGTTGATGAAGGAAAAGATTATCTTATAACCAGTGGGGCAACTGGCTATTCAGCCATAGAAAGAGAGAAAATGTGGTTGTGTGGGAGGGTGGCTATACTCTGACTTTATCATACCATATCTAAAATTAATTCAGAATGCACCATAGCTCTGAAATACAGAATTAAAACTACTAATTTGAATAGTACACAAAAAATTTGATGTGACCCTGGGTTGACCAAAATGTCATAGGCACAATCCAAAAGCATAAACCATAAAAGAAAAAAACTGAAACAATAAACTTAATTCATCAAAAGGCATCATTATGATAATGGAAAAAAAAACTGACAGACTAGGAAAAAATATTTTCTAATTTGTCACTTGACATAGGGCTTACATTTGGAATATTAAAAATTAAAATCTATATAATTTAACATGAAGGCAATCAATACAATTCAAAAACAGGCAAAATACATGAATAAGTATTTACAAGGAAAATATGAATGGCTAATAAGCACATGGAATGATGCTCAAAATCATTACAAATTTGAAATACAATGGGATATGCCTATAAACCCACCAAAATAGCTATATACACCAAAAGACCAACAATATGGAGTCTTGGGAACAACATGGCAAAACAAACCTTTGTGAAGGAGTGTAAGATGGTGTAATGACTTTTAAAAACATGTTCACTACATATTCAAATTTTAAACATATATTTAGCCTGCAAACCAGCAGATACAAAATGAATTCACTATTTACAATAGCCAAACAGTCCAAATGCTTATTATAAAGAAGTATTATTTGGCAATCAAAAGGAATGAACGTTTTGTATATAAAAGAATATGAAGGAGCCTCAAAAATATTATTCTAAATTAATAAGCTAGAGAGGGGGAAATGAGGTAAGGCAAGTCTATAGAGAGAAATAGATGAGAGGTTCCTGGGAAGTGGAAGCAGACATGGGTTTGTTACAGGATATTTGAGCAAACTTTGTAAAGATGTACTGATGTTTTACCTTGCCTGCCTAAGGGACCTGATTGGTTTAATAAAGAGCTGAATGGCCAATAGGTAGGCAGGAGAGAAAAGGCAGGACTTCCGGGGAAAGAAAGGAACTCTGAGAAGAAGAGAGGTGAGAGACGCCAGTGAGACGTGGAGGGAGTCAGGCATACATTATGGAGGATAGGAATGAACCATGTGGCAGGATGTAGACTAATAGAAGCAGATTAATTAAACGTATTAAGAGCTAGTTGGGAAGAATTCTAAGCTAAAGGACTAGCTTTCATAATTATAATAAGTCTCCATGTCATTATTTAGAAGCTGGTGGGCCAAGAAAGTTGAATAAATACACAGGGGTTGAATAAATATACCTCAGGGAAGGTTTGGGTGTGACAGCAATATACTAAACTGGAGAGTGGCAATGTCTCACACTTGCATAAGCATCCTAAAATCTGCTTAACTACAAGGGATGAATTCCATGATATGTAAGTTTTGCTGAAGCTACTTAACAAGAAAGAACAGAAGGCATTGTAAAGGCTTCCCCTGCCTCTTCTATAGGGACTGTATTTCAGAAGAGCTGAATCCCTGATAAGAAAAAATTATAGGAGTATCAGGTAGAGAATGTTTCTAGGTGTTGGAGGTGTATATATGTTTCTCCTGCTTTTTCTTTATTTTTGTTTTTATTCTTTTTAAGGGGTGCCTATTTGTTTAAAGCCTTAGATTTGGATGGGAGATGGAGAGGATCTGGAAGGTGTTGGAAGAAAAGGAACTGTGATCAGAATGTATAGTATGAAAAAATATTTTCAATAAAAAGAAAGTAAGAAATAACTACACAGTCTGGGAAGATGTTTCAGCAGGCAGAGAACTTCCCATACAAGCTAAAGACCAGAGTTAAGTTCCCTGAAACACAGGAAATGCCTTTGGGAAAGATAGTGCCACCTGTAATCCCAGAACACAGGAGTCAAAGACATGGGATGCCCCAGAACAAGCTGGCTAGCAGATTAGCCTTAAGTGCAAGCCAGGTTCAGTGAAGGGAGGAACCCTTCTCTCTATATAAGGTGGAGAATGGTCCAGGAGGATACCAGACATCCACTTTAGGCCTACACACACACACACACACACACACACACACACACACACACAACACACACACAAACCACATACAAAAAAATTATAGTTAAAAAACACAAGAGAATGATAGTGTTATAAAAATAAAAAGATGGTTCTCAGTGGATGCTAAAGCTAGCAGATAAAAGGCTGATTGGGAAGTTATAATGGAGGTTTTGGGATGAGGCTGCCTAGTGCCAAATGACCAGTCTCTGCATTCTAAGGGCAAGATAGCCATGTCACTTGACATGGCACAGTAAGCACACAACACCAACTATCAAGGGTTTTTGCCAAATAACAAAATGAAGTAAAATAAGCCTGAATCCAAACACCTCCAGTTCCATTAACAGCTTATATAATACAAGCAATAAGCAAGCCAAACAGAGCTTTGGTAAGGTAGCAATTAGACAATATAAAAGACAGGACATTCTGAAGGACCTAGTTTTCTTATTCACAGCATTAAAAACAAATAGAAAGATGTGAAACACCATTACAGATAAAAAGAAACTAAAGAAATAGCCACATCATGTCAGAGATAAAGCCTGACAAGATCCTTATTTTAAGAAGCTCACTTAAAAAGACATTTGGGATACAGATGAGGAAATGTTTGACTTTACTGAGGAACTGCTCAGTTTGTTCTGTGTGACAAACAGCACAGTGGCCATTCTTTTATAGAGCCTCCATCTGTTACACACCTGTAATAAAATGACACAGTGTATAAAATATGCATTGGAACAGCCCACCTATCTTGCAAGTGGCCAGCAAGAACAAGGGATAAGGTTAGTGAGACCTCAAAAATTACTGAAGTAAGGTGATAGGCAGATGGGTATCACTCCACTGAGGGGAGTATTGTCTCTACTCAGTGTAGTTCTTATTTTCCATATTAGAAATCATTAGGGGACAAAGAAGACTGTAACAGAAGGAAGACCAAAAGAAAAGAAAAGAGTTTGTTAGTGAATGTGGCTGTGCAAGCTATATGAGAGGCAACACATAAAGACAAACTATATGCTATAAGAACAGAGCAAAGTCAAGTACCGAGATATGGACAATGAAATACCAACACTTGAAGACATGTGAGAGGGCAAAAAGTAGAATTTCTCTGCATAAGTAAAGGCTCAAAAGGAAAAAAGGGAGGGAAACCAAGACACTTTTCAAGTAACAGTCACCAGTCACCAGTAATTAGTAATTTGAAGTAATTTTCTAACTAAATAGTAGGTTTCTTTCAATGGGAAAATCTCAAAATGAGAAAAATAGTCACCCTCAATGCTTGTTAAGATATGGTTTACCAGATACTGAACAAGATATCCAGGAAATACTAAATACATAGGCCTATAATTGCCACTGAGCTTATTTACCACAGTGGAAAATACAATGTCAGGTCCTAGAACAGACATGAAATAGGCCCTGATGCAAAGCATTGTTCAGATGAGTCACTAGCCCATAATCCCATAAAAGCAAGCAAGCTCGTTTATTTGCACCCTCCATCCTAAAATGTTAGCTTGTTGCCAGGTTCCATGTTTTTATGTTGCTAGATTGTCCCTGAGGAGAAGAGTAAGGGAGGGAAAGAAAGCATGAGGGGACAAAAGGGAATGAATTCCAGAATCACTGGCCTTTTGAGATGCAAAGACCAGTCTGTGACCTCGGACACTTTCTATTTTTAGGCATAACTGTCAGCCTTCCATTTCATAACCAGAGCCTACAGGTCCTTCCCAAGTGTACACCTAGCACAGCTGACTGTGCAGTTTTTTTCCAACTGAGCCATACAGGTAGTGGGTAGTACTGTCATCCAGATCCTTGAAAAAATGATAACTGCTGAACTAAAGGCACAGCTATTTTCAGCCAAGCTACTCTGAGCTTTGAGACTCTTGACTTCTTTACCACTACACTAAAGTTTTGTTTGCAGGACAAAGCTCCACCTATCATGAAACTCCAGCAGAACACTCCATACCTTCTTGACCAAAAATATGTAAGTTAATTCTTAATTTGTTATAGACCACAACAGAAAGAGGAAAAAAGTCTCTGTTTACCCACAGCAAAAAAGATAAATGTTTTTCTATTTTCAGGATTATTTAAACGAAATTTTAATTATGGCAATATCTCAGTTCAACATTTTTGAAATCCTACTAGACTTTTAAACATCTACTTAACCTCAAATCAAATATCATAAGGATGATACTTCCTAAAATGTTTTTCAATCAGTAATTAAAAATTAAAAACTTACACTCAAGCTGTGCAACCACATCTCCAGGGTCTACTGCTTCTGGGAACACCTGCAGGGAGAGGGCACAGGCACAGCAGAGGGTGGGATGGGAAGAGGAAGCCAAAGAAGATGTAAGTAAGACCGTTTTCCCATTCACATTCCCAAAGTGTCTTTTCCTTCCCAACCAAAGAAAAATCTTGGTTTGTTTGGGGGTTTTGTTGGTTTGGTTTGGTTTGGTTTTTGTGAAGAAGACTCATTACGTAGCCCAGTTTGGTCTTGATCTCTCAATCCTTCTGCAAAGTCCCTCAAATCCTGGGGTTACAGGAATAAATCACCATGCCAACCCTCCAAACAAATCTTCAGCAACTCTCTGGGCTTTCCATCATTTCACATTTTGTAACTGGCTGTGCCTCCCTCTACTATCGCTCACTAGAATTCCTACCTGTGCTCCTCAGAATGATCTTATCAACCTTCCTAGTATACCACCTCACAAGAAACCTTTGTGTTTGTTAGTGCTCTGCTTAGAATTCTCTCCTCTAGATCTTCAAGTAACTCAGTTTCATTCAAGCTTTGTTGAAATATCATTGCCTTCTTTGACATTTTTAAAATATATGTATTTCTCCCCTAATCTCTCATCCTTCCTTTATTTGTATTTATGCATTTATTAAACTCCAGGAAAAGATAGTTTCGCCTTGTGTATTATGTGTCATCAGTACCTACCACAATACCTATAGTGGGCTATTTTATTTTTGAGGAAAGCAAAGAAGGGGGGAGAGGAGGAAAGCAGAAGGGAGAGAGGGAGAGAGGAAGGGAGGGAAAGAGGAAGAAAGGGAGGGGGAGGGAGGGGAAGACTAGAAGACAATATAAGTCTGGGAGGAAGGGGATATGGTTGGTAATTATTACCAATAGCAGCACTTTTAAGGAAAATGAAGAGAGAGAGACTGGGTAAAACAGAAAAGCATAAGATATTCCTAAGTAAAACTCAGCATAGGTTTACCTATATGTGCCTTAGTTTGTAAGAAGTTATTATTCAGCAGTCAAGATGCTGTGCTTTGTAAGAAGCCCACTAAGCTGTTTTAGAAACAGGCTGTGTCACATCAAGGAAAGGCAATTGATTCAATGCATAACAAAAGGAATATTTTCAAAAATCTAAATGTATTACAACTTTCATTTTGAATCAAACCAAAGCACATAGTCTGTAATAATAGTTTATGTTGCAGGATTTTATTCAAAACTGGAATCACGGATTTTTGTTTGTTAATACTTGCCTGATTTTTTAACTCACCTTTTCAAACACCATTCTGGCATTGAAGACCAGGGGGAAAGTGGCTGGAACACATTGTGTCTTCTTGTATTGGCCAAACACACAGATACTTAGATATATGTCCTCCTTGTCTTTCAGCACCACTCCTGGACAAGTTACCTGAAAGCAATTAGATAAGTGGCTGCAACTGCATTGTAATTCAAATGAGCTATCCCACTAACATGGTGCCGAACAGTCACTTCCCACCACAGAGACAAGAGTTTTCAGCTGCTCACAGATTTCAGTGAGATGCCTTTATATTTCCTTCCCTCTTAGAAACCCATCATTTTCTATGTCGTTATGTGTGCCACATTTAAAACTCTATGTACTGGTTTTTGAGACATGACCTAATAATTTAATAATTTTAAGCAGTTCAGCCTTTGGGTCTCATTTTCTGCTGAATGCTGACATAAAGTTATTCAACATCGTTTACTCACAAAGAAGTAGCACCCAGCAGAAATAAAGCAGTATACTCAAGGACAGAAATAAAACTGCAGAAAAGCATGACTCTATTTCCCATCACCCTGAAGAGTATTTGTATTGGCCAAACACACAGATACTAAAACAAATGTCCATTCATCCTCTCATCAGAAGTGATAAGGTAAAGTTTCAAGGCCCAGAAATTCATTTTCTAGCCTAACCAAGTATATTTTAAATATTCCTAGAGCCTTCATCCAGTTCGAAGCAGAAACAGGCACCCACAGCTAAGCACTACTGGAATCCAGTTGTGGAGAGGGAAGAGGGATGAGCAAAGGAGCCAAGACGGGGCTGGAGAAATCCGCAGAAGCAGTGGACCTGACCTACTAATAGCATAATTTCCCTAGTCATAAAACTGGGGAAACAACATTGGACCAAACCGGCCCTCTGAATGTGAGTGCCAGCTAGGAGGCCAAGACAGTCTGTGGGACATCTAACAGTGGAGCCAGTCTTTATCCCTAGAGCACAAATGGACTTTGGGAGCCCATTCTCTATGGAGGGATACTATTGCAGCCCATATACAACAAGGAGGGCCTATGCCCCCCCCCCCCCCAAATGATATGACAGACTTTGAAGGTCCCCTGTGGAGGGCCTCACTATCCCTGGGGAGGAGTTGGGGGTGGGTTGGGGGGGAACATGGGAGGATGAGAGGGCAAGGGAATGGGGGGGATGGATATGTAAATATGAGTAGTAGTTTGATTACTTTTATATTGCTGTGATAAGATGCTATGAATAAGGCATCTTACAGAAAAAAAAAAGAGTTTATTAAGGGCTTGCAGTTTCTGAGGATTAGAGTCCATGAGCATCATGGTGGAGGCATAGCATTAGAGCAGTAGCTGAGAGCTTAAATCTTGATCCACAAGCACAAGGCAGAAAAAGCTAATTGAGAATGATTTGGGCTTTTGAAAACTCAAATCCCAGTCCCCTTATACACCTCTCTCAACAACGTCACATCTCTAATACTTCTGAAACAGTTGCACTAACTTCAGACCAAGCTTTCAAATGCATAAGACAATGGGGGCCATTGGTAGAATGTATATAGGGAAAACATGGAGTTTCTAAACATCACACAGCAGTCTCTTCAATCCCTGACACATTCCAATATCGTTGTTCAGCCATGCCATTAATGGGATAGTATATGTTCAAAGATGTAATTTTATGACAATAATACTATAATGAAAGGAAGAAATAGAAAAAAATAGAATCAAAAATTTTAGTGTGTTGCTGAAATTAAATTGACATTAATCCAGAACATAGTAATATAAACTAAGATAATAATTGCAAATCTAATATCAATTGCTATAAAAAGAAACTAAAGTGAAACAATCAAAAAGCAATTGGCAAATTACAGTTGACACCAGCTTGTAAAGGCAAATTTAGCTTTCATTAGGGGAGTCTGACTAAGTATAAAAGCCACATGTCAGGGCAGGTCCCATGCTCAGCAATAGATGACCAATGCAAAACAAACTCAGGGTTATCTCTGGAAACTTTTTGTCCCACATTGCTTTGTCTTTTGCTTGCATATTATAGTTTCCAATTTAGTGTTTTTGTGGAGGGGGGGTTGTTGATGATGATGATGATGTTTTGTTTTGTTTTGTTTTTGTTTCTTGTATGGGTTTTTATTGGGGGAGAGGATTTTTTTGTTTGTTTGGTGCTTGTTTGCTTTATTAAAAAAAAGAGAGAGAAAGAAAGGGCATGGGATTGGATGGATGGGGAGGTGGGAAGAATCTGGGAGGACTGGGGAAAGGAAAAGAATGATCAGAATATGTTGTACAAAAAAATTTCTCCTGTACTCATAGATTGGTGCATAGCTCAATTGTCATCAGAGAACCTTTATCCAACAACTGATGGAAACAGAGACAGAGACCCTCAGCCAGACATTAGGTTGAACTAGGTAATCCTGCTGAAAAGAGGGAGGAAGGATTGTAGGAACCAGAGGGGTCAAGGACAACATAAGAAAACTCACAGAATCAACTATCCACAGTTCATAAGGGCTCTCAGAGAATGAACTTACAACTAGGGAGCATGCATGGGACTGACCTATGCCCTCTGGACAGTTATAAAGCTTGGTCTTCTGATGGGACGCCTAACAGTGGTGGCAGGGGCTGTATCCAACTCTTTTACTGGCTTTTGGGACCCTATTCCTCATACTAGGTTACCTTGCCCAGCCTTAATACAAGGAGAAGTGCTTAGTATATTACTGCAGCTTGATGTGACATCTTTTGTTGATATACATGGAAGGCCTTCCCTTTGCTGAACAGAAATGGAGAAGTGGATTGGGCAGAGGGGGATGGGGAGAGGGACTGGGACTAGGAAAACAGGGAGGGGAAACTACAGGTGGGATGTAAAACAAATAAGTACCCAAAAACTTTTCAAAGTAAATGGAACTAAGGAGGATCAGTTAAACTAATGATAAACTGGATGTAAGCAAGAAGAATAAACTTATTAGACAAATATAAAAAATTTTAAATGTTAATTGTGAATCTCTTATCAATCACTCACAAAAATAAGCTAACAATAAAAACATTAGAACAAAAAGAAGAGGCTATCATGGTTTGAATGAAAATGTCCCCAAAGGCTCATAGGGATTAGAGGACTTGTGGCCTTATTAGAGGAAGCATTTCACTAGGGGTGGGCATTGAAGTTTCAAAGCTCAAGTCATGCCCAGTGACTCTCTCTCTCTCTCTCTCTCTCTCTCTCTCTCTCTCTCTCTCTCTCATCTCAGATCCAGATGTAGAATTCTCAGCTACCTCTCCAGCACCATATCTGCCTCCAGGCTTGCAATATTTCCCTTCATAACAAAAATGACTAACCCTCTGAAACTGTAAGCAATCCCCAATTAAACACTTTCCTTTCTAAGAGTTGCCATGGTCATGGTGTCTCTCACAGCAACAGAACAAGACCTAGACGAGACAATGATGGAGAGAAACAAAGTCCCAAGACACAGAGAATAAACAGAAAAATGACAGCAGAGAATCTATCTTTCTTACAATTATATTAAAAGAAAATTCACCCATCAAAAAAAAAGTACACCCATCAAAAGGTATATGCAGAATGAATTCAAAACCATTACCAAGTTTCATATTGAAGGAGGTGGATGAATAAATGAAAACTGCCGGACTAAAAGATGTCAGGCTTTTTCCAACTGTAAGTACTGTAAGTCGTCAGGGAAAATTAATCCTGTTCACTTTGAAACATGGAAGATGTAAAAATCCTGCTTAATAAGAACCCACAGCCAGACCCACTCATAGAAAGGGCCTCATGAACGAATACAAACCAAGCAGTACACCAGTTTTAATTTAAGAACCACAAAGTAAAACTGAAAAAAACAAATGCAAGCATATTCAGAAACTCCACAGAAAATCCTGGGGATTTAGTCAAGACAGACACACGCTCCAGACCCCTGACAGCACATACTACCCCTAGATTCCCCATACCATGTGAAATCCTCATCCCAACTGTGGGTAGTCCTCTAAGCTCTATAGAGAGGGGCTGGAGAGATGTTCTGTGTGAAGGGCACATGCTACTCTTCCAGTTCAGTTGGCAGCACCCACCTCAGTTGGTTCACAATCACCTCTAACTCCAGCTCCAGGAGAGCCAAAGCCCTCCTATGGCCTCCACTGTAAGCAATCCCCAATTAAATGTATATGTATATGTCTCTCTTATTGGTGTACTGTGGTGTACACAGTACACCACACACACACACACACACACACACACACAAAATAAAATAAAATAAAAACTTAAAAATAAAAGATTCCGGAACAGATTGGGGGCCAGAAAATAATTTTTTTCAGCTTATGTCAAAAGCCAACTATATATGACCTCTATTCCATTTTGTTAATTTCATTATGTGTACAAGACAAAGATGGAACACTAGACACCAAAAGACTTCCATATTGTAATGGTGTGTGAGGTTTCTAGTCTAGGAAATATGTCCCATTGGTAAGGAAGAAAAGCAATGAGTGCAGCAACATGGATGGTTTTAGAAGAACTATGTGGACTGAAAGAAACAGACATGAGAACTATAGCTAGGATCAGATAACAGTACTACAAAAGCATTTTGTACTACAAGATATATTCTTCCATATGTAGTAATTTGATATAAAGAAAATTAAAAGCCCTACAACTTCCTTCAGACTCAGCTCCCATGATTTTCCTTTCTTTCCACCTCCAGCAGGACACAGACACTTTTAACAGACCTCTCTATTCCACCTGAAGTTGAAATCTACAAAGAAGCATTGCCTGTCGTCCCTCCTTGACCTTATGCCAATTAATCTCAAGTTATAGCAGGAAGGAATGACGTCTGACACACACTGGACAGGTCTTATTTCAACACTGTCTTTTATCCCAGTCCTGCTATGATTTAAATCTGCAACGTCCTCCACATGCTCATATTTTGAGTGCTTGGTCCCCATGTAGCAGTACTTTGGGATGTTATGAAAGTCTGGGGATGTGGGCCCCATTGGTAGATGCAGACCACTAGGAGGAAGCCTTTGAAATTTATAGTCACCCCTGGTTCCAATCTAACTCTCTGGTCCTGGCCTGCCACTATCTGTGGAATCTACCACATGCTTCTGCTGTCATACCATCATGAAACCATGAGCCTTTGTTCCTCACATTGTTTATATCAGGCATTTTAG